TGTGTAAATTTGATTAAGTTCCTCACAGGTGCTGGATATTAGACCTTCGTCAGATGCATAGTTTGCAGAAATTTTCTCCCGTTCTGTAGGTTGTCTATTTGGTGTGTTGATAGTTTATTTTGCTCTTTAGTTTAATTAGTTTCCATTTGTCAACTTTTGCTTTTGTTGCAATTGCTTGGCATCATTGTCAGGAAACCTTTGCCTGTGTCTATGTCCTGAATGGTACTGCCCAGGTTGTCTTCCAGGGTTTTTATAGTTTGTTTTCTTGAGCATCCACTAACTCCCACTTTAATCTCTGTTTCCCAAATTCCTCTTCTTCCTCTTGCTTGTTCTACTCCTTCCTGTGGAACATAGCCTCCCATACCTTCCTGAGAAGAATTTCATTGGTGATAAAAATGTTCAAGGATTTGCATGCCAAAAAAATTTCTGTATCCTGTCTGTGTGTTTGAACCACAGTAGGCCGGCTGTAGATTCACATCCGTGTAGAATTACAGAATGGGATCCTCTAAATTTTGAGTTGCTGCTCCTCTGACTTCCTGTTCTTGTGTTGGTTCCATTATTATTCCCCATCCTTAAATGTGTCTTGTGCTTTTTTCCAGAAAGATCTTTTCTTTAAGATGATGTTTCAAAATACTAACAAAATATCTTTTGGTATGGGAAATGAGTGGATTTCTATATTCTAAATAATTTTCAGTGCATGCTTGATGTTGTCACACTATACATTTCTAGGAAATTCTCATTCCAAACAGAAGCTCTGTACTCCTCAACAATGACTCTCAGTGCCCTCTTCTCCCTGTCCCAGCCTGAGCAGTCTTCTGGATCTCACTTCACACTGTTTTAACAGCATCTCCAGAAGGAAAGTGTTATTGTATGTGACATAAATGTGATTATCTTCGAATGGTGAAAATGATGAGCACCAAGGCTTCAAAGGCTATGGAAGTAGCTAAGGCAGAGGCCCTAAGCGACAGCCCAGGTGAGGTCAGGAGTCTTGTGAGTATCATGGGGGACTCCTGTACCAGCTACTTCTTCCCCAGGTCACTGGATGACTGCACCTATAGAAAAGAGAGGTGAGAGAATGGGGACTGCATGGGCTCTACGTACACACAGATTCATGTGTTCCATATAGAGCCTTGGCATCACCTACTTTTGACAGCTTCCCAGTGGATTCCAAAACAGAGTCAGGATTAAGGGGCCCTGGGCAAGGCATTTCTATTTCTCATTCTCATGTTCATTAGTGGAAACAATCTTGGACCTTCTGGCGTACTAGGGAGGACTAAAAAAGAAATGAAAAATGTTCCAGCGAAATGTCTACTAGGGTGTTCAATACATAGAAATTTTTATTAACTGTAAGTATTAGAGTAATAATTTCTCAAATGTGTTAAATGCTTTATAGTATTAACTTATATAATGTGTTCTCACAACAATGCTATGACATGCATCCTATTTCACAGGAAAAATAAATGGATGATAAAGAAGGATGTCTACGTATATGGGTGCATGTGTGTATAAAGATGTAACGTAATGTGGGACTCCAAGAGGGCTTCACAGACAAGGAGACATGTGAAGTGCTTTCTATGGATTCGGTGGTCAAATGTCTTAGGTAAGTAAGTCCGTAAAGGCAAAGGAAACCCCATATGCCCTGGGGCAAGGATGTGACACATGTGATGCATAAGAAATGACATATAAACAACTACGGCTAAGGACAGGGCATCCAGGAAAAGAGAAGATGAGGAGACAGGGCTCCCAGGAGCAGAGTCTTGGAAGTCCTTGTGTGGAACAAAAGGCTTTGGATGTGTTCCTCCAGCAGTGGTTCCTCTCTGGGTTTCTCAGATTATAGCCTGAGCTCTGTGAACCCTTGTGTCTGTCCATGCACAATGTGTAGACTAAACTGGTCATGAGTTTCACACACTTAGGTTCTATTTTTTTAAGTGTACATTTTTCTGGTGTTATTAAAATACAAATTTCTTTTAAAAACAATGTTTAATAATAACTACTATTATCTACTCTTTTCTCGGTTGTATAATAATTATTATTATGTAAATATGAGTTTAGGGTAAAAAATATAACTTCCCTTACTTGAAACCCTTGAGAACATGTGCCCTCTGGTCATTTAGGATGCTTGAAAGAGGTTAGGATCATGTTTCAGTTCTGAGAGGCTCACTTTGGTGTGAATAAGAAGGATTTATCACGGGAAGGGTTCACAGAGACTGGGAGACAATTTAGGAGACTTTAATCTGAGTTGAGTTTTAAAAAACTCAGACAAGACTGTTAGGTGGTTGTGTGATGGGAAAGAAGGGACTCGCAGAGGTGATACTGTGGCTGTGGAGTCAATAGAACTTAGTGTATGGTGAGGAGTCAGGAGGGAGGGAGCCATAGTTGACTGATTTATGTCTCTGTCTCCTAAAAGATATTCACGTTCGGCCGGGCGCGGTGGCTCAAGCCTGTAATCCCAGCACTTTGGGAGGCCGAGGCGGGTGGATCACGAGGTCAAGAGATCGAGACCATCCTGGTCAACATGGTGAAACCCCGTCTCTACTAAAAATACAAAAAATTAGCTGGGCATGGTGGTGCGTGCCTGTAATCCCAGCTACTCAGGAGGCTGAGGCAGGAGAATTGCCTGAACCCAGGAGGCGGAGGTTGCGGTGAGCCGAGATCGCGCCATTGCACTCCAGCCTGGGTAACATGAGTGAAACTCCGTCTCAAAAAAAAAAAAAAAAAAAAAAAAGATATTCACGTTCGAATACCTGGAATCTGTGACTGTTCCATTACAAGATGAAAAAGCATTGTGTAGACATAATTCAGTTAAGGCTTTTGAGATGGGGACATTATTCTGAATAATCTGGTGCTTCCTAACCCCAACTCCTGTATTATGTAATTAAAAGTCAGAGGGGGTTTGACATGGAAGGGAAAGGAGACAGGAATGTATAATGGAGGCAGAAGTTGGAGTGATGTGGCCACAGAACCAGGGTAATCAGCAGCTCAGAAGTCAGAAGCAGCGCTTAGTGAACTCCCCCTGAGAGCCCTCAGAAAGAATAGAGCCCTGCTGCCCCTTGACCTCCCCACAGTGATACCAGTGTTGGGCTTCTGGCGACAGAGGTACAAGAGAATCAGTTGTTTTAAGACACCTAGCTTTCAAAGGTTTCTTCCAGCAGCCACGGGACACCAAGCCAGGAACCTGTGGCGTCTCCTTGGGTCCTGGTAAGGGGTCTTGCTGCGCTCATGCATTAGCCTGGGTGGATACATGGAAGGGAGAGCAGGCTGGAGGAAGACCCTGTGCTCAGTTTTACATCCTGCTCCTGAAATGACTGTAGAGCGCTCACTGGGAGCTGTCCAGTTGACAGCGGTGCTGATCTCTGGAGCCTCTGGTAGAGCTTGAGGAAGCATTTGCCTCAGGTGCTGGTGAGTGATGCAGACACTGAGGAGTGCTCTGAGTGTGGGGACTAAAACAATCCGAATTCCAGGTTGAAACCTGGAGATGCCCTCAAATTGTGATAAATGTAAAATAAAGTATACTGAACATGACAGAGGAGGGAAGCCACCATGAAGAGATGGCACCAAGCAGCCTGTCTGTGGGTATCAGGGGACATTATATTAGGGCTGCTGCTGATGGGAATCATGTGCCTGGGCACCCAGGCAGGCTGGGGGACCCCTAGTCCAAGATCAGCAGGAACGTTATAACTCCTGTTTCCCCATTACCATGGTTTCCATTCACGGCTGCACATGGGAAATCTGTAAGGAATCAGGATGATTTCTGCCGAATATTCCCTTCTGGGATGCCTGCACTCAGACCCCATTGGTAACGGAATGCTGATACTCTAGAGTTGATTATCAGCCACAGCAAAAGCCCGCTACCCTATGGAAACCACCCTCGACTCAAGGCCCGAGACTGCAAAATCATAACAAGACCAGTGGAGAGGTGCAGGGCAAGTGATTTATTAAAGCAAGATGTTGAAACCTTTACATTTTTTTAGTGAAGATCAGGATATCGTTGAAAGACTGTGGAAACCATGTTGAGCATTTTTACATGACATTACATTTTCGCACTACCCTCATCTGAAACAGAAAAAAAAAAAGAAAGGAAGGAACGTGGGTCAGTCATGCTGCTGATGATGATGACAGGCTAACATTAAAGAGGCCAATGGGATTTTGCCCCAATGGCCATTGGAAAAGCAGAGGCAAGAACTCAGTTTGAGAAACTGAGGCGTAGACGTGGTGGCCTTACAACATTCATTCTGGTGAGAAAGCAGCCTTTCCCCCACCAGGCCAATAGCCCTCGGAAGACCCAGGAGTTAGGTCCAGGGTTTTCATGGAATGGGTGGGGAGGGGTTGACAGTGCAGCCTGTCTGGGTTATTGTCTGGGCTGTCCCAGAACTGTGGAGTCTCCTGATACTTCTAATGGGGGACTCGGGGCTCTGAAGCCAGGCAGGGCAGGTCAGTGAGGGCCTCTGGGAAACACACCTTCCAGGAGAATCCACCCTTCCCATGGGAGAATTCTGCCCAAGAGCCAAGGCACTTCTCAGCCCTGGGCCTGCAGCTTTTATGGGTATTTGCAGCCAAACCTCAGGACAGCAACCCAGAGTCAGCCAGGCTCAGAGGGCCCTGTAATCCTGTGATTTCTTGAGAAGGACTTAGTGAGAACATCCCACTCCATGGCACTGCAGGAAGTAGAGCAGTGAAAAAGTCTTGGTCCACTGGCTGTGGTCAGGAGAGCTTATGGATGAGGAGTGGATAGTGGGCTCTGAGGAGATGGGAGGGGCTCCTGGCTCTGTAGACGCTGCAGAGGAGCCCAGTTCACCAGCACCCTGTCTGTGGGAGGCCCAGCCCTAGGTCCCCCATAGCCTTCTCTCCCTGTTCAAGGCTTCCACACTCCCCAGGACATTCCACAGTGACTGTGCCCACTGCCTGAGGGCAGGCGGGCCTCAGGAAAGCTCCCAGCAAGGATGCGGCTGTGCTTGGCCCTTCACCACCCCTGACTGGGCCCTGGTTCACTCCCCATGTCCTCAGCACACTCGGAGGTGTAGGTGAGTTGAATTATGCCTCTGCATAAAGGAGAAATCAATTACCAGGATGTCTTGAAGAAGACTTCGATTCTCAGAAGATATCTGATCTGTGCATTTCTTTACTTCGAACTTGGCTGCAACAGCTTCTGGAGGTGGATTATATTTGGAAATTTCCAGCTTTAAAAGATCGTCAGGTAAGAAGAAGAAGTTTATGATATCAGAAACAACAGCTGGGCAGACAACAGCATTGGCTGCAGCACAAAAATAAAAATATAGTTGATGTTAGGAAAGTCGATTTCTGTCTCATGGCTTCCTGACATTACACCAGACAAGATCCCCTGGATTCTATGTCCCTATACCATGATTGTGCTGATGACAGTGCCAGATACTCCAGGTGTGACTTTCTCAAGGTCACACAACAAAGGGAAAGCCTTCATATCCTCAGCTAGGCTTTTTTTTTTTTTGAGACAGGGTCTCATTTTGTCATCCAGGCTGGAATGTAGTGGCACAATCTTAGCTCATTGCAGCCTCAATGTCCTGGGCTCCGGCGATCCTCCATCAGCCCCCAAAGTAATTGAGACTACAGGTGCATGTCACCATGCCCAGCTCATTTCCTTGGTTTTTTTGTTTGTTTTTTTTTTTTTGGTAGAGATGGGGTTTTGCCGCATTGCCCATGCTGGCATCAAACTCCTAAGCTCAAGTGATCTACCCACTGTGGCCTCCCAAAGTGCTAAGATTACAGGCATGAGCCACCACGCCTGGCCCACAGCTTGACCCTTAACAGTCATAACCTTACTTCATTCTCATAGCTACTCCTGGCAGAAGCTTTAACCACCAGTGATAGGAGGAAGCTCAGGTAGGGTGAGTATTGTGCCCAAGATCAGGGGGTGGGAAGTGGTGAATCCCAGATTCACCCCAGACCTCACATTACATCATCTGACACAGATACCATCCAGAAGTAAAGCTCAGGCAGAAGAATTCTGAACATTTTGCTGCACTGATTTTTCTATAAAACTTCCTAGGTGCTGGGGATTAGAATAAATAGCTCTAAGATTTATGAGGGCCTTATTCAACAAGCACAGAGAAGGATCTGGAATTCTATTTGGTTTTGCGCAGATCTCAACCCCAGCACAAATAGGTGACCTCGTGCTTAGAGGGGTGTGCTTCCCAGAGGCTGGTGCTGGACTCATGACTGATGTACTCACCCTGGTAGCAGCAAAGGCTCAGCATGACCAGCAGGAGACACACCGACAGCCTCATGGTGGCTTATTCTGCTGTGAGCTCAGCTTTCACAATGAGTGATTTGGATTAGACTCCAGGAGCCTATGTAGTCATGGAGCTCAGGGCTATTTGTACCTAGGGAGCCTGGCTGGTCCTACCCACTGTGGCACCTGGTAGGTCAGGAGGCCTGGCTCCCAGCCCACCCTTCCAAGCCAAGGCTGCTTCCATCCATCAATGTCATCTCCTCAGGCATTTCTGCATCCGAGTGGGGCAGAGCACAGGATGGCAGCCCTGCCAGAACTCTGCTCTGGGCTCCCGGTGAGCGTTCAGGCACACCTGGAAATGTTCCTGGGATTCTCAGTTTCCTTCTGAGCTTTTGCTGATTATTTCTTTTTATCTTTGTAGCAGTGTGGGGATATAGGTGGATTCTGACTTCAGCAAGCAAAGGAAACTGGAAGACTGTGTTCTAGAGCCTTTCAATTTCCTTTTCTGGGAGAGCACGGACATAAGGAGACCCTGCTTTGATCCCCCTGTATGCCTGACAACCAGCCAGGCATGTTTCAGCTGCACCCTGAGCAAGTCTAAACAAGACCTACCCTTCCCCTCAGCCCCTTCCATCACCACCATGTTCACAGCATAGGTATCTAAAATCTAGTTCAATACATCCCATCTTTGGAGGATTTCCTGGGGAAAAACAACTGCTGGACCTGTTCCCTAGCCTGCCTCACTCCCAAACCTGAGTCTTGTTTATGGGGTAGGTTAGATATATGAGCAACATTCACAGATTCACATTTTCTACCTATAAAAAGCAAGCTTTCTGTGATGTGTAGCCACCCACATCTTACCTTAGGGCTGATCTGATGATTAAATAACCCAACTCCTTTTTTTTCAAGGAGCTTTTGGAGTGTTCAGAGCTAGTCATGCATCAGAGACATACTGAGATTTCTTTGCTCTGGGACTCTGGGCTGGGAAGATAATGGAAGGAAAAAGACAGATGAACAGGGTGGCTGGTCCCTTAACCCCTAGGCTCAAGTTTTCCACTTCAAACCTAGCCCTGCTGCCTGAGCCAATCCTATTTTTAATGGAAAGTGAAGGAAGCCCCCAGACAAAGCGATCTATACCCCCATGCCCTCCCACTGCAGTGCCTTCATGTGGTGTGAGTAGGTAATCGCCAGAAATTTCTCTCTTAAATGAATGTACATTTGAGAGGAGTCACAGCCCAGACCAGAGCTTTCTGTTATCAGCTACACAATCAAATCACTTGGGGCTTTTGAAATATAGTAACCCCACAGGCTTCACTCTCTGGTAATTTTGATTCAGTAGCATTGGGGTGACTCCCTGGTTTCTGCACTGTTTAAATTGCTCCGGTGTTCTCACAGGCAGCACGGCTGAGAACCAGCCAGGAAAACCTTTAAGAAGGAAGGGGACCTTGTGGGTTATGTCATGAAAGACACATTGCCAGGTTTGGTTGAGTCCAAGCTGAGGGCAACAGTGGATCTCTTTCATCACACAGGATGACGAGGGAGTCCCTAAATCAGCCCTGCTGCCACCAAGGAGGGGGAGGGTTCATGGTGAGGCTCGTGGCTATGAGAGTTCAGATCCTCACTGATGGGCTCCTGGGCCTTAGGAAAATTATTCAGTTTATGTAACCCCAGTTTTATTCTTTGTCAAAGTAGGCTATTAACGTTGTCTACATCACTGAGTTGATAGGCGATCAAATGAGTGTGTTCATGGGTGTCTGTGTATTTTTAAAATATACCAAGTTCGGGCACGTTGTAGTTCTCAATCAATGTAAACTGCCATTATCTTTCTCATTTGTCATATATGTCATGGTTTTCCACTAGTTCCTAATTTAGGGCACAACCCAAATCCACAAAATCACCTACTTGAAGAACTACATGGACACCTAGATACACCATTTCTCTCTGACATAAATGGGAAAAGGAACCCAGCTCATGGTCTCCGAGTCTACATGGGCTCCAGGACTCAGGCCTCTTTTGCAGAAGACAGGCCTGTGAGACATTCACCCTATCTGTGGATGAGAGTTTACCCTCGCTCCAGCTTGGCATCACCTTGTCATCTGTATAGTCCATTGGGGAGGATGTGTATCTCTCAGAGAAGATTGTTTGCCTTTATTTTATTATTCCTACCACAGTTAACACCTACACAGGATTTTTGTTGTTGTTGTTGTTTTCATCATTGACACTTTCATGGCTCCCTCCTTTTTACATAGTTGACTCAACATTTTAGTTTATTCTTTCCACCCATGGGCATTGTTGCCTGTGCCCAATGACTTGGTGGATGCTCCCCCTCATGGACTCTGCTGTAGCCATGCACCTCTCATTTGCAGCAATCTCAAAGCTGTTGTATTATAAATGTGCAATCATTTCATTTATGCAAATTTTTCTTGACTGTTAGATCCATAATCACAGGGTCAGCATCTGGTTTTGTTTATCCTGGCTTAGCACAGTGGCTGGCATGGAGAAGATCAGCAAGCCATCTTGTAACAAATCAATGACAAATTTATGAATCAAAAAACTGCTAAATTGGTGATGGTCATGTTTAGTGTAAAAGAATGCTTATGGTGCCAGGCTTCCCTGTGGGCAGTTGAGGGTGAGTAGCATGGTGATGACTGTGGAAGAAACTCAGTGGTTTTCCACATCACTAGAGAGAACAGTGGCAAGAGGATGGTGCTGCACCAACCACCCAACCCCTAATCTTCTAGTGCACGCCAAGACTTAAACAATTTCAGGGAAACTTAATATCAACTCACCAAACTCTACATCCACTAACAGGAGCTCCTCTTTAGTTTCTCTTCCAACTAGGAGTATCACAGCTTCTGAGTTTTCAGGGTCCCAGTGGTAGAGCAGCCCATGGGGACTATTCCTCTGCCTCTCCCCAGCCATGAGCAGAGGGCTCCAGGGAAACGCAGGGGAGGCATGGAATGTTCTGGGTGAAGGCATTGAGATGTGAGGCTGGGAATACAGAGAAGTATATCTAAGTCCTGCTTAGGGACACATAGCATTTGATTCACAAAACAAAACAAAATGTGGAACAAGCCCAGGTAAAAGCATGAGGGAAGCTGACCCAGCATAGACCAAGTGGCTTGTGAGGTACATCAGGTAGACAGGTGAACCTGAAACCAACAGGTGCACATGGTAGGTAGAACAGGGAAGCGCTTTTGGTTGGAGAACAGCATGGGCCAAATGGCGGGGAGCTTGTACTTTCCTCTGTGGGTCATGACAGCAGAATGGATGAAAGAGGTGAGATACCTTCAGATTTTATCTCACTGCTTTTTTTCTTTTCTTTTCTTTTCTTTTCTTTTTTTTTTTTTTTTTTTTTTGATGTTTTCAAATCTCAGGTGGAAATAGCATAGATTTTCATACCCAATAAAATAGGTATTGTATACCAGACAAATAAGCAAACTAATAAATTTGAAAATAACACTGTAACAAGGATGAGCAGAGGTAGCAATTCTTGTGCACTGTTGGTGGGAACGTAAAATAATGCAGCCACCATGGGAGAGGAGGACGTGTCGCAAATTAAAATAGAAAATATCATAGGATCAAGGAATTTCTCCTCTCATGTTATAGCTGGAAGAACTGAAATCAGCATCTTGTAGAGGTACTGTATACGTGTGTCTTTAAGGCACTATTCACATCAGTCAGTGGAGAACCAACCCAGTATTTATCCCCAGATGAATGGATGAAGAAAATCTAGGTATTCATGGAATAGAATCTTATACAGACTTAAAAGTAAAGAAAATTCAGACACAGACTATAGAATTAAATATAGATGAACTAGAGTAGATCATTATGCTATATAAAATAATCCAGTCACAAAAACAAATATACTATGATTCACTTACCTGTGGTATCTACAGGAGACAAATTCACAGAAAGAGAAGTTACAATAGTGGTTTCCAGAGGCTAGAGGAAAAAAGATAGTGGGAGTTGTTGTTTAATGATGCAGTTTCAGGTTCACACACCCAAAAAAGTTTCTGGAGATTAACAATGTGAATATGGTTAATACTACTTAGGTACACACCAAGAAACACTTAAGATGATACCCTTTACATTTGTGTATCACAATGAAAAAAATTTAAATCTCCTGGGTTTGAAGTCAATATTACACCTTCCAAGCACCTGAATTTGGAACTTCCTGCTTCTGCAAATTCAAAACCAAGAGGGCCTTAAGCATATTCTCTTTCCTAAGCCCTTTCTTTCTGTTGACACATTCATTCTGCAAATAGATATTTTTTATCCTTGAGTGCACAAACATTGGCTTGGTTTCATAGAATAGAATGTTCCATAAAAATCCAGTCACCAAAATTACAGTGAGTTCATTCTATTTGGAAACATGCAGGTCCTGCGGGTTGCAAAACACTTCTGTAGCTAATGAGAATAGTGATAATAAAAAGACTAACAATAGCTTTGAGTTTGTATGTCCATACCTGCAAAATGCAATTTATTATATTCACATCTTTGTTACCCAAAAGTAAGATACAAGCTATTATGTTTCCAATATTATAGCTGAGGCAACTGACTTGCAGAAAATAAGAAAGCTGTCTGCAGTTGCACAGTTTGAAAGGCAAAGGTCTGGCTCAGGCATTGATGGTGTGTGAGTTGTGAAGTAACAAGGTGCTTCTCTCAGTCCATACATCTGGCAGTGGTGACAGGTGAGGCGGGCTGGAGGTGGATGAAGATTAATTGCTACATTTGGTGCTCCTTGCCTTTCACTTTTTGACTCAAATAAACTCTTCTAATCAATGATGTCTCGTACTAGCTCCTTCATTTAGTTCATTTCTTTCTTCCTTCTTTTTCGTTTAAAAAAATGTGCTATGGTGACAGCACCAAATGCTGGCAAGATGAGGAGCAGCAGGAGCTCTCACTGACTGGAGGGAATGAAAATGTACAACAATTTGGAAGACAGTATGGCAGGTTATTACTAAAGTGAGCATATTGTCACTATAAATTCCAATAAGTGTGCTCCTTGACGTTGACCTAAATTAGTTGAAATTTTATTTCCATAAAAAAATATAGACATAGATATTCATAGACACAGATATTCAACTTGACAGAAAGTTGTTAAAACTGGGAAGCAACTGAGAAGTCC